CTAACTTAAAGGTAGTCTTTCTGCTATACCTTGTAACTATACATACACTTTCATTATCAGGTTTTTAAATGTATGGGAAGTGGGCATTGTTCTTTGTCGATATGATGAAAGGTACATAAATGCCAAAACACTTTTAAAGAAAATATGCAAATAATGACACTAAATTGTAATTGAATAAAATAAACTTATTTTCTGTGCTGCTATCACGCTAACCTGTATCGTGTTGATTATCTTTTATAACAACTTCCATCACTTTCACTTGACAGTAGGCCACAAAACAAATATAAAAAAGTGATCATGAAAATTTGTGCGGAAACACATGAAAACGGAAACAAAATAATAGTTAATAATGGTGGATGACACTTGAACTAAGACGAATCCTGTGTCTTGAGTAATTAAACGTCCACCCGAAAGTTTTGCAGATATCCATGGGCGGTTGTAATCACTTAACATCAGGTGAACCACCCGCTCTTTTGCCAAAATTGATTGATTGAAAAGTTTGATATAAAGAATACAGAAATAGGAGACGACAAATACCTATATCCTGAGTAATTCCCACTAGTATAGCAAGGACCAGGCAACAGTCTTCGCTGTTACACGAATGTGCACATCCATCCGGGTAAGTACCACGACCTCAAAGAAGACCAGCCACTTTAACTGTGGCAGGATCACGCAACAGCTCTTGCTGTTGCACAAATGGGACTCTCAGAAGACTGGCGTGAAGTGGAAGCGTGTGAGGTAGCCGGTGCCCACTTTATTAAAAGGTGGCAACGCATCTGCAACCCTACAGGTCCATGGGCAGCGGTTGTCATTTACCATCAGGTGAACCACCAGCTCACTGGCCACCTTCTCACATTAAAAAAATGTTCACTAATATAATAATAATAAAAATATCTTTATTCACATAGACGCTTGCGCGTTCTTATGAAACGTCAAAATTTTACAAGAAATTAACACGTTCGTAAGTTACCACCGGTTCGGAAAGCAGTTTCTGTTGAGAAGAAACCGGCAAGAAACTCAACAGTTGCTCTTTTTTAAAAAATCAGTTTACAATATAATAGTACAGGTACAATAGTCTTGTTTTAGCCTACAACAGCCTATGAACAGTATTAACCCCACACATTGGCGTCGTCAAGATATTCGGCAATAGTATAATAGGCTTTAGCCATAAGTGTACTTTTAATTTTTCGTTTAAATTCATCAAGTGGCAGACTTAACATCGACTGTGGGATTTTATTATACATGCGCACACTTTGCCCCATGAACGATCTGTTTACTTTTTGTAGGCGAAATAATGGCGTAGTTAGTTTGTCCTTATTTCTAGTATTTAGTTTATGTCTGTCACTATTCTTTTGATAATTATTAATATTCTGTTTAACATACAAAATATTACAATAAATATATTGAAACGCAACAGTGAGTATATTAATCTCTTTAAAAAGATCTCTGAGTGTATTCCGGGCTCCGATGTTATAAATTGCTCGGACAGCTCTTTTTTGAATAATAAATATTGAATTTATATCAGATGCACTACCCCACAACAAAATGCCGTACGACAAGATGCTGTGAAAATAACTGTAGTAAACAAGTCTGGCAGTGTCGATGTCTGATAGCTGCCTAACCTTCCTAATTGCAAAAACAGCGGAGCTTAACCTACTCGCAAGAGATGATAGATGGGGACTCCATTGGAGCCTTGAATCCACTGTGATTCCCAAGAATACAGCGGACTCAACAGGATTAAGGGTTACGCTATTCAATTTTAAGCTAAAACTTTGCCTTCTTACGTTGGGAAGGGCAAAAAGAAGGCATTTAGTTTTTTTTTAGCATTTAACACCATATTATTAATGGTAAACCAGTGGAGGATACGCGATAATTTCGATCGAAATTCAAAAATCGAAGCGCCGTTGACAAATATCTAGCTTCTAATACCGATTCAATTGAACCGGCTACAAATTACGCACGGCGACCGGCCGCCGAGGTGCGTTCCAAAACCATAAAAGTTGCTCGTCTAGTTTTTACGCCACCTACGTCCTCGAAAAATAACCGCCGGTGCCGCGTGGTTGTCTCTAACGAGACGTTTTGCTTTTCGGACGCAAAGTGAGCCTTTTTAAACGCTCGCATCCGCTACTAGCGGAGCGCGGTACGGAAATTTCATACGACGAAGTAAACGAGACATCAAAGAGACGCTTCCGGTCCGGGATGAAGGCGATGCATTTGAATTCATTGCATGCGCCGAGTACGACGTCGGACGTATTGTGTTGCTGGGCATGATCCCAGTATAAAGTTTTTATCGCTAGATAAATTTCAACATTGTCGATTTCTTGTCAGTTTTCATGTTGAGATTTGTTGCAAAATGTTCAACTTAAAAAACTTATTCTACGGAACTTCAATGCGTCAGGCTGGTGTCGTGCCAAGTTTGCGGAGCGGACTGCGGGCCTCCACGACCTTGAACCGGGCAGATGTATATCTCTAATTCATAGTCAGTCAGCACTGTATGTATCTTAAGACATTGGAATACAAAAAGATTAGTGGGTAGACCCAGCCATGTACAATCAAGAGACAATATTTATTCTTATATATAAAAATAGATTGCTGTTCGTTAGTCTCGCTAAAACTCGAGAACGGCGGGACCGATTTGGCTAATTTTGGTTTTGAAATATTTGTGACAGTTCAGGGAAGGTTTAAACGATGAGAAATTATAGATAAATTGGATTGAAAATCGAAATAGCAACAATTTTATTTTCCCATACAAACTGTACATGTCAGCCTGTCAACTATGTCTGTGTAACCTGTCAAACACTTTATGCGTGCGTTCCGATTCCTCAAGAAACAATTTATTTGGCAAAACAACGTTTGCCGGGTCAGCTAGTTTTGTATAATAATATGAAAGGAAAAAATTAAAAATGATACTATATGAAGCTTTAATCAACTGTTAAATATGTATAGAAAAAAAGTTACATTACAAACCTGTTAAATACATTAGTAGGCACGAGGGTACGAATAGGTCGAAGCCATTCACATTGTGATCGCGGATGCTATCACGCGGCCTCCTTTCCTACCGTCAATGATGCTTATTCATAAGTGATCACACATTCCAAATGTTCGTGGAATGGAGAGGAACAGCGAACGGCCCGTGTTTCAATATCAATTTGTTGTACTACTTACATAATTTTTGATATTGTCTCTTTCAATGATCTGTTCATAAGCTCACGTCCATTGCCAATTAAACTTCGTTAAGACATCGATGAGCCTATCGGATATAAATTAGTCGTTTACGTACGCCAAATGCGGAAAAACCCTTGTATCTTATAATATGAGGAAATTATGACTATAGGACCCTTAGTCTGCATCTTAACATTCGAAGCAGAGTTAAATTATATTCCCCTTGTCGCACAAATCCGACTCTATTCCGACATGCTTTAAAGCAATTAGAACTTAACCATTTTAGGACTTTGCTTTATTAAACAAGGTTTTTCATAAATAACTTAAAATATTGAGTAGACTATTTATCATTCTTAAAACGTTGATTATAGTCATAATCTAAATATGGATGTAATGCGCATTTGTGATAGCTTAACTTAAGAATCATCTGGTTCGAAGGGCCAAATAATTCTAAGAACGACAGCAATAAATTCATAAACGTGTTAGCGTGCGTCACCATCGTAAAACATATTGCCGGCTACATACGCTCCTCATGAGTAGGTTCGGATAACGGTACAGTAACAAATGAACGTGAGCAGCTTTACTTCGACCTCAAAATATGCAGTCTATTAAATAGTAGGTCAAATATTAATATTTATTAATATTTCTTGTGGAATAAACGAAAGATTTTTTCTAATTTAACATTTTTAGACGTTAAATGTCTTATTTTTTTTACGAACGATATTAGTTCTTGAATGATAGTTGCACAATGATAGTTGTTTTGCATATCGAAACATCGTAAAAAGAAGTGGTCCTGTCTCCTGTTCCAGAGGGTGTGGGTTCGATCCCTACGGGAAAAATATAAAGTTTATCCACTGTCTGGTGGTTTATATATTTATAATATGTATTTATTTACAAAATAAAAGTTTAAGTATGTTTATCAGTTATCTAGTATTCATAGTACAGGCTTTTTAGCTAGACACTAGATAGCGTTGTGTAAAAATATGTCCTGAAATATTGATTTAACTTAAATAAAAACCTTGTTATATAATTACTCAATGACGTTAATTTCAAACTACGCTAGAAATCGAACTCATTTGCTTCGGATAACAATTATTTTTTTGAAGTGTAAACGCGTTTAAAATCCTATTGAGTATATTGATGAAGTTCAAACGAACTGAACGAAAGTACAACAAATTAATGGTATTTTACCTCTTTGGTTATTATAACATTGAATTTTTGTTATTGGGAGCGTTTGGTGCCAGATAGGAGGTTTCTTTAATTCCCATAATTGGACGGCGAAGGGTGGAACTTGTGCGCCCCACGGAGTTTCGTGGAACCTACAAGTTCCACGTGGCGTCTGATCAATACAACGGTCGGGACGGCGAACGAGCCGAGCCGAGCGTGGCGTGGCGTGTCACCCCAAAACAGCTGATACCACCACCCTACCCGCTTAGACGGTTCACTCACCCCTCATCACCCCGCATACATTCAATCTCCGTGAATATATTCGCAAGGGCGGAGCTGGACTTAACTTTTTCAATTCGGAAGAATATGTAAGGAATCGGAATTAAATATTTACCAAGTACTTTTATTACGTGCGGGGGGAATAATAATGACGTTTCGTAGTTTTCTTTGTGTGGTTTCTTACAGGACAACTCTAATGGCGTATGATCACGTAGGTATACGAGCAATATATCACAAGGAACCACAAAAGAAACCAGATACGTGTTGCTAGTGAAATACACACTATCGAGTTTCAGCGCCGTAACGTTTGGCCCCGCGAACTAGTAGGCTACGAAACAAGACGTCAAACTTGAATAATGTATACAAATAAGATTCAGAGTTATCCCAAAGAAATGTCTTACAGAACAAGGGAGACGTTCTCGGACGTCCGTGAGGGATATACGGAACAACAGCAACAGCAGTACGTGAAATATTTGAAACAACTCAAGTGCGAGTTTGAAAAACGTTGGCGGACGAAACCAACGTTCAGCATCCAGTTCCAGGAATTGGATCGCGTACGGACATTGGGCACGGGCGCGTTCGGCCGAGTTGTGCTGTTAAAGCATATGAAGACGGGGAAGTTTCACGCGATGAAAGTGTTGGAAAAGGAGAAAATTGTGAAACTGAAACAGATAGACCACACGCTGTACGAGAAGAGAATACTCGAGGCGATAAGGTTCCCCTTTACCGTGTCAATGGAGTTCAGTTTTAAGGATAACAGTTACATATATTTCGTCATGCCGTTCGTGTCGGGCGGTGAGATGTTCACGCACCTGCGAAGAATGATCAAGTTCGAGGAGTCGCTGGCGAAGTTTTACGCGAGCCAAGTTATACTAGCGTTGGAGTATCTGCACTTCTGTAACGTGGTTTATCGCGACTTGAAGCCCGAGAACATTTTGATCGACAGGAACGGCTATTTGAAGATCACGGACTTTGGTTTCAGCAAGATCCTGCAGGGCCGCACTTGGACTCTGTGCGGCACACCGGAATACCTCGCGCCGGAACTGATATTGAGCAAGGGCTACGGGTTCTCCGTGGACTGGTGGTCTTTCGGGGTGCTGCTGTATGAGATGAACGCTGGCTACCCTCCGTTCTGCGCCAACGAGCCAATGAAGACGTACGAGAGGATTGTCGCCGGCAAATACAGGTGCCCGTCGAGTTTCAGCGCAGACTTACGAGATCTGGTGCGGAACACGCTCCAAGTGGACATCACCAAGCGTTTCGGCGTCATGAAGAACGGCGTGATGGATTACAAAAACCACAGGTGGTTCCACGGGATCGAATGGGAGGCTATCCTTAATTGTCGCTTCCCGGCCCCCTTCATTCCCAAGTATAAGTCGCCTGGTGACGCGGGCAATTTTGATCGCTACGCCGAGGAACCGATACAGCCGGCATCGTACTGTCGTTACGAGTCCGAATTTCTGGAATTTTAATGTTGAACAATTTAATTTTAACAGTTTAATCCGAATCGATGTCACAACGGTCAGTGCTGTGCTGTATTGTTTTTGTTAAAATAACTATCGTGATATATGTGTACCGTAATATAATGCCATTTTATTATACAGTATCAACTCGTTATCTAAGTATTAAAACACAATTATGCAAAACGAGTTTTAATAGTATTACATCGAAATACATTATTAATATGTATTTCGATTGTCCCAAGAGAGCATGTTTTACGTAAACAGTTTTAAATGATTTTAGATTCAGAATAGGAAAGATTAGCAAATTTTTAACCCCACCCCCAAAGTATAATAGGTAAGAGTTTTTTAAAAACTCTAAAATACAATGACTAAATTGCTTTTATCGTGATAAGTATTATCGTTGAAGTTTTAGTAATTTAATCAAGAATTAATTCCACTCTTATGAGTATCTACAGACTTCATTCAATTTTCTGAAGTACCTATTATTTTGGAACTTGCATAGTTATAATGCTGTTCCTCTCTTATGTAATACTTGAACGTCCTCTCTTCCGTCTCACCGAAACGATTTAAAATTTACGTTGGCACGTTTCTAAAGTGAAGTAGAAAAAAACTTTGTTTGACTTCGCTCCTGTCTGTTTGCGTTGGAGACGATATATTAAATCGTGATTGAGCACGTGCGCGGGGTTCCCCTCCCATGCGCCCGCGTCGTCTGGGGACTATGGCACAAAACACGAGACACGTGACACTGTATCTCTATTTTTAGATCGCCAATACTTCTGTAGTGCTATAGAGGACGATGTCAAAAACTTTACAACCGTGCCACGGTCGGTCACGTAACGCCAATGCCAAACGATTAGTTAATTGACGAAATTGAGTTAAGAACAAATGTGTTACACGCGCATGACAGAAATAAGTATCTAATGGATAAACGGTAAAGCACGAGATGTGATTGCTTATAACACATTCCTAAAAGCGCAAAAGTGTTAGAACACCACATCAAAAGACAGCTGATGTTCTTAATTTCACAAAGAGATTATAGAAACCCAAATAAGACATGAGGTTAAAGACATAGTCACTTACTAAGAACTGCTGTCCCTTAGCGCAACTAACAATTACTCATTATAAGAACTTCATACGGAGTAGCAGTAATGAATCTGTATCCATAATTTCTAGAGATATCCGCTCACACATGCAACGTATTTCCAAATACCCGTCCTATTGCGAATGACCCGAATATCATTCGCTCTAAGCCAAAATTAGCGGGTGTAGTGAAACGCTGGTTTCGCGTTTATTCCTCCTCGTATGCCCGCCCGGCAGATGTTTCGAGTAAACGAGTAGTATATCCAATGTTATCCTACAGACATAAAACGAACTAAGATGTTCGTGTAGCGAGACCAGTTCGTTAACGCACATTTCATTATATCGCGCTGCCGTTTCCAATGGTAACTATCTTTTATCTTTAACGTGACGACATGTTTTGGACGTTACTAATAAGGACCATGGAAGAGAAACATATAATAAGCCTAGGCAATCAATAAAAATCACCCCTCGAATAACCAAGGCCAACCGCAATGTTTTTAATTGAATACTACAACAATATAATTAACTTGATAAATTGTTGGGAGATATATGCAAAGAGAAAATCTTAAACATTAACTGAAAGGACCACACGCAGGAATATTAATCATTAGCATACAATGGATGAAGCACTACAAGAGATCTTTAATTATTTTTATCCAAACGGATGTTGGACGGCTACACGTTATATAAAACGAAGACTTTTATGTTGTAATAACATAAAAAGAAAGAAACGTAAGCATTGGCTATTGACACGTGATTATAGATAAATATATGCAAATAATATTCAGTTCACGAGTCGTTAAGTACTTTTTAATTAATTAAATTCCTGTAGACTGTGGACCCAATCAGCTAAACCAGGCAGTTTCGAGGTTTTAAATCTAATATGAGAACCAAATGAGCCAAATTAACTCTAATTAAGAACTAATATCGAGAGATGTTTCGATCAGTAATAGACAGAAATAAACTTAACCGATATATTATAAATATGCCTTATGATAGGTCTTTCACATCTAGATTGTACTTTAACCTAGTGCGGGAAAAACATTCCAAATTCAACCATTAAAGTAGCCTAAATTTTGTAAAAAAAAAGCTTACATGAGTGCATTATATAATGAGAACCCATCTGTAATCGCAATCTGCATCGGCATTCTCTACCAGTCAATCCGAGGAATTGAGAAAATTTGTGGTAGGTGCAAAACAAAAAAAATAGGATTAGATCCTATTACACCGTAAGAGTAAATATTTAACCTATCACAAATATTTGATACTTTATCAGCAGTGGTTGATTCATTGACCCCTATACCGGTATTTCAATTTAAATTGCTAGATTGCAATTATTTAAAGACAGTGGGAAATGTTGCTACGACGTTACAGGTAAATTAACCGATTATTATGCAAATTAATGTGGATCTAAATCAGTGGATATAAACGGGAGGATGATTCGATCATGACCGATTGTGTGAATGAGAAAGTGCAATTGGCGTATAATAGTCGATGTGTTCTACACCGAAGTGCGCTCTTCGTACGCGCTAACGAAGACTAAAGGATCAACGCCTCACAACAATGGTCTCCTCGATCCCACCGTTAAGGGGTTGAACGCCGGAGCCAGCCGAGTGGAAAGTGAAGTGAGCGAAGTTCCGTCCTTCTAAGAAATACGATGACGCACACCGGCCGACATTGTCGGAACTTCATTCGTTATCGCGTTAATATTACGAATAATAAGTAAAAGTAACAGCTAATATATGTCCCACCGCTATACAGAGCGTATACTTCACATATCTTCAAAATACTTTTTTGTTAAAATTTCGAAAATATGCAGGTTGCCTCACGATGGTTTCCATCACCGCTGTGCAAGGTATAGTTCGGCACTTAAAATTGACAATTTCATTGGTGCCAACACCGGGATTTGAACTCAGGTTGCTTTGATATACTAAATTAAAACCGATCGCCCAGATACAGCTCAATCAATCAATACTCACAAGTATAATATCGTATATTATGTACGCGTGAAATTTTGTAAGATTTCCACGCCGCAACGGCTGCAAAAGCTTTGAAGAAATAAAAAAAAAATTCTTAAAAAAACAGAAATTCCTAGGTTTAGGAATTTCTGTTTCCCTTAGGACCATTTTCTTTATTAGGGTTTAATTGACTTCTGGTCATCAGTTTTTAGAAACTTCTGTATGATGAATAATATTGATCAAAACTGTAAAACATATCGTTGCAGACATTGCCGTCGTAGACGACTTATAAAGAAAATAATAACAATAAAGAAAATATCAAAAGAGTTGAAATATAACTTGTTTTGGCCGCATTTTGAGCATGGATGTAATAATAGAATAAGTGGAAGTGGAATATATGTAATATAATGCAACAGTAAATTATCAGCTTACATAGACCCACCCTACTACCGCAACAGACCTTGTTTGAACAGAGGATATTCGGTCTCTACGATTTCGTTCCTCAATTTTGGTAACGCTAACTTAGTGTATATGCAACGGATTGCTGTGACAGAATCCGTTTTCCAACTAATCTAATTGCAAACGCTACGTTACATTTGTGCCCATGTATTGGAACTAACACACAGCTAACACTTCCCACAGTAAGGAATCGATCCAATGAAATATTTTTATTAGACATTATTATAAATATGTTTAACAACAGGCCATTGTGACTTTCATAACGAATCTAATATTTACATGTAAAGTACAAAAAAACAAAAGTATCTACAGTAGAGACGAGTTTCAGAAGTCCGAAGCACTTTAGTAATAACAATGAGTGCATTATATAACGAGAGCCCGTTTGTAAAAAGACTCGAGGCTGCCATTTGTGGACCGAATCGTATTATATAAAAGATTTGGTCTTGAAAGTTAAAAGGCATTGTGTAGCCCCACATATTGCAACTTTCCATTATACCTCAAACATTGTGACAAACATCAAACAAGAGCAAAAGTAGAAAAAGTTATACAGCTGTTTGTATAATTTGAATTCGAAAAAAAAAATTGTTATGATACTTACATTGGCCTAGACAATCGTGTCGTGGCATTAAGTGGGTTATAAGAGATAATATTTTAACATTTGACCCATCTTTATAACAAATAAAGACACAGTGTGTCTCTGTCTATAGCAAAATATCCGAAATGAATATAATACACGATGATAATAATTATTAATTTCATAAAAAAATTAAAAAATATAAAAACGTGTAAGTAATATATTTAAATAATTGTATAGATAAAATATTAATAAACTAATTAATAGTAGTATTAATAAACCCTCCAAATAGGAACATCCTTCGAATAACAGTTTAAACCATTGATGCAACACACTGACATACTTAATATATACAAATAATTATTATAAATACCAAAACAGTATAGCAGCAACGGACATCATAAAACGCCATTGCATAAGACCACATGGGCTTGGAGAACCGTTTACAACGCCTCAGCAAGTTAGACTATTGATAGGCTATCGAATGTAGAAAGCACAAGTTTATTAGGGCTGTCCCTAACGTTATATCTTGTGATTAATTCGTTTAAGGAAAGAATTGGCTAAGGGTTTACTTTGTGTATTATTGTCCAAGTATACGACTCCGTGGCAGTCTATGGGGGAGGCCTATGTTCAGCTGTGGACTCAATCAGGCTGAAATGATGATGATGATACGACACTAACTTTATGTTTCAAAAATTTTGTTAAATAAAATTACAACGACGTAGTTCTGTAAAATATCATCGATATAAAAGAACATACGTTTCCTGAAAAATGTTAAGAAAAATCTATCTAGTCAAATGTTAATTTAAGTGCTGCATCAAAACATGTGTGGGGCGGCCACCCGCGAGATGGACTGACGACCTGTCCAAAGTCGCGGGACTTCGTTGGATGCAGGCCGCTTCAAACAGATCGAAGTGGAAATCCCTAGAGGAGGC